CAGGCACTAGGCACTGTCTCTGAGTTTTTTTGCTCAAGGCTAGTGCTCTACCACTTGAACTACAGTTCCACTTCTTGATTTGGGGTGGTTAATGGGAGTTAAGAATCCCAGACTTTCCTGCCAAGGTTGGTTTAAGCACAGGCTTAAGACTGAAACTGAAATGTGATCCTCAGATCTCCTGAGTAGCTAGGATTTAGAGGTATGAGCCTCCAATGTTCAGCAAGCCCAAGACACACGGTAACCTAAGCTAAAAAAAAAAAGAAAAAAGAAAAAAATAGTACAGGGCTGGGAACATGGCTTAGTGGTAGAGTGCTTGCCTAGCATGCATGAAGCCCTGGGTTCCATTCCTCAGTACCACATACACAGAAAAAGCCAGAAGTGGCATTGCTGTGGCTCAAGTGGTAGAGTGCTAGCCATAAGCAAAAGAAGCTCAGGGACAGTGCTCAGACCCTGAGTTCAAGACCCAGGACTGGCAAAAAAATATATATATATATATATATTTATATATATAGAAAGCTTTCTGCCTCAGCTGAATGCCAGTGAGGAACATCTGTACTCCAAGCTACTCAGGAGGCTAAAATCCAGAGAATTGAGGTTCAAAGTCAGCATGGGCAGAAAAGTACATGAAACTCAATCTCCAAAACTACCAGCAAAAAAGCAGGGATGGAATCTCAACAAGCAGAGTAGCAGCTATGAGCAAAAAAGCAGTCATGTGCATTTCAGTGAGTCCTTCCATCCCTGGAAAAGATCAAAATATACAATGAAATAAAACACAACACAACACACACACACACACACACACACACACACACACACACACACACACAAAGGGCAGATCACTGTGAAAACATTACATCTGAATATAAATATAATGAAATAATGTCATCTATTTCCTTGCATGATAAGACCTGCTAAAGTGACCTACTAAGCTGCTGCAAAAATCTAACATCTCAATTTGGAAAAGCATGAGAAAATTTTTTAATTTGGAGCTGGGAAGATGGCTCAGTGGTAGAGCGCTTGCCTTGAATGCATGAGGCCCTAGGTTCGATTCCTCAGCACCACATAAGCAGAAAAAGCTGGAAGTGACACTATAGCTCAAGTGGTAGAGTGCTAGCCTTGAGCTGAAGAGCTGAGGGACAGCGCCCAGGCCTAGAGTTCAGGCCCCACGACTGACAAAAAAAAAAAAATTAATTTGCTACCGGGGTGAAAAAATTTGGCATACTACTAAAATAACAGCAGAACAATACTAACATCTATATTTAAGTCCAATTTACATTGGAGACTTTTAGAAGTGATAAGAACATTCTAAAACTAGAAAAATAGTGAGACTCAAAAGATGACTTTCAAGAAGACAACTGTTACAAAAATCTCTGTCACAAAAGCAATGTCCAAACCTCCCCACTTCCCAACCTCCACTGGAACTTTTGGGGATACCCTCATTCACACTGCTTAGAGCTGCTGCTCCAAAAGGCACTTAGTGTGAGTCCCTGACTAAGAAATGTTCTGCATGAAGTCATCACGATGTATCTTTAACTTATAATGCTCCCTTCTGCTGCCTATTTCTGCCTGTGTTAAACAACAGTCACAGTTCTTTTTTGACAAAGAACTCCAGCTGACTGCACTGACAGGTTAATGCAACGCATCTCACATGACAGCCTGAGACCCTCTGAGTTCGAGGAAGAAATAGGGCTGTTTTCCCACAGTGCCAATCTGACTTGACGGAAGTCATTTAGCACAATTTTCAAATTACAGAAAACATTAACATTTGTATGAACTTTCAAGATCTAAAAACACAAGTCCAAAAACCAACAACAGAACGAGACTTGGAAGTAATTCTGAGCTTGTGATGAGTCACTATGGACTTAGTCCCTCATCTTTCAGAAAAGCTCATTATCCTTGGCCACTAGGAAGTTTTCAGAAGAAAAGGTTAAGAAATACTGACATAAGGTACTACAGATACAGGGAGAAAAACTTCCAACAGCCAAACAACATGGTCTGAGGAATCCAAACACAAACTGAAAATAACATAAGTGGGCCATTTCTGCAGACACAGCACCAAGGACTTTGTACCGACCATCCAGCTGTCAACATAGCAAGGCTGGCACAGCCTACTGCATGGAGATCGGAAGCACTGGGACTAACCCAAGGTAGCACCGAGTGACCCAGTGCCACAGGGGTCAAGCCTTTGCAGACTGCCTCCAGAACTCTCCCTCTCACTCACCACTGCATCAGGGGAGGGAGCTTCACCACTGTCCCCCAGGATGCCGAGTTTCCCCTGGGGCACTGCACTCCTCCTGCCAGCCAGGCGCTGGGTCCTGGGACTGTACTAGGTGGCTGGACAAGCAATCCATCTTGGGCCAACATTTTTTTAGTGACAGTAAAAAACAGACCTTAACATTTTCATCTCACAGATCAGGCAACATTCCATCTCAAAATAAATTGTATTTATGATAAGTTACACAAACTGGTCTTACAACTCACTCGAGAATTTATTACTTTAAGGAAACTTCTGACTTAAGAGTTTACTTTCTGGATGTTCTCTAATTCCTGACAGGCTAACAATATTACTTACTACTATACAGAATGTGTTACAATGTGATCACCTGAGCATCATTCAAGAATTGTTTCAGGGAATGTCCTAAAGTGACATCAAATGGTTTCATCTACATGAGTAAGTAAACACTATGTTAATGACTCACAGCTATGCAAAATTCCATCAAGTTTTAAAGCAAAGCTGTGTGACTTAGTTAACACTAAATAAACAGTGAGTGTAACAAAATATCCAAAGATCACTCAGGCCAGGCCAGCTGTCAGAAGACTTGTCATCACTGTAGAATCTACCTGACAACTGAACTGACTTCTCTCCAACTAAAAACAACCTAGACCTGAGAGACATGTTGGTGATAAGAGCCAATCTGCAGGTCATTGTCCTGCTCTAGGAAATGACTTACATCTTACTTTTATTAGTCTTTACAGATACACAACTGAGAACAACAAAGCATAATCACTTCAAGTGATGAAGACACATACCAAACTTTAGAGTACACAACTGAGAGGCACACTAAATGAAGAGGCGAAGTTTTTATTTCATCAATAGTCCTTAAATTAAGCAAACTTGAAGTGGTGCTGTAGCTCAAGTGGTAGAGCACTCGCCTTGAGCTGAAGAGCTGAGGGACAGCACCCAGGCCCAGAGTTCAAGCCCCACGACCGACAAAAAAAATAAATAAATAAATAAATAAATAAACTACATAAGCAAACTTGAAATATATATTGCACAGTCATTCATAATGACTTCCTAGAATTTAAGGTTTAGGAATGTAAAGTGACTTTTACTTAAAGACAGCAAGTCATGTAATTTTAGACACAGCTGAATATCTGATGGGAGGAAGGGACAAGTTTGCATGTTCTTGTGCAGTAAGCATGCTGTAAAGTTAAAATAATGCAGGAAAACATTATCTAGACCAATGAAATAAAATTAGCACTTCTTGCAGTAAAACACAGAGATAGGACGTTCACGAAACAACAAAATCAAAGCCAGGGGCAGTTGCTCATGCCTATCACCCCAGTTACATGGGAGGCTGGGACTGGGAAGATCATGGTTCCAGACCAGCATCAGCAAAATGTTAGCAAAACTATATCTAAAGTGGTGTAGCCTGTCATCCTAGATATGCTAGGAAGACTAAAATAGAAAGATCAAAGTCCAGGATGGGTCTGGGAAAGGCAAGAACCTATCTCAAAATAAGCAGTCCAAAACAGGTGATAGACAATAATAGTCAACCCCCTGCCAAGCAAGTACAAGGCCCTGAATTCAAACTATAATACAAGAAAGGGGGTGAGGGAGGCAGAGAACAAGAGAAAGAGAACAAGGGAAGGGAGGGAGAGGGAGATGAAGACCGGAGGGGGAGGGTAAAGGATGGAGGGAGAGAGGGAGAGAGGGAGGGAGGGAGGAAGGGAGGGGGAGGGAGGAAGGAAAGGAGGGAGAAAGGGAAGGAGGGAGGAAGGGGGAGGGAAGAAGGGAGGAAGGGAGAGGGAAAGCAAGCAAATTCATGTTATCCAAGAAAAGGGAAATCGGTCAAGTGGTTCCCATACTCTCTTGCCACAAAACAAGTACAGTGAGGCGATCCCTAGCACTAAGAAGAGGAAGGAGTACAGGTGGAGACACACAGACCTCCTCAAGCTCAGTGGGAGTACAGGTGGACACACACAGACCTCCTCAATCTTCCAACTGCTGTGCAATGGGAAATGCCATGACAAGGGAGCCAAGCCACCAAAGCAGGGAAAAGTCTAATCTGGTATAATTCAAGTGTCCACACTTGACACTTTGACTCAGAGCTCATTAAAATATAATACACACAGGTGGCGGTGGCTCATGCCTGTAATCCTAGCTACTCAGGAGGCTGAGATCTGAGGATCGCAGTTCAAAGTCAGCCTAGTCAGGAAAAGTCTGTGAGATTCTTATCTCCAATAAGCCACTCAGAAAACCAGAAGTGGCACTGTGGTTCAAGTGGTAGAGCACTAGCCTTGAGCTGAAGAGCTGAGGGACAGCACCTAGGCCCAGAGTGCAAGTCCACTACTGACCAAAAAAAACAAAAACAAAAACAAAAACATACATATGGATATAACCTATTGCAATTTGCTAAATTGTCAAATATTACTACTACCATATTTAGGAGAAATCCAGAAAGGGACTTTCACTTTTTGGGGAACTTTGTACACAGAGCACCTTTTTGTATTAAAGACAATTCATAGCCTTTAAAAATCTCATTATAACTTTTCATTTTCAAGAAGATGAGTGACTTTTGTGGCTCAGGAACAAACTGCTGCTTGTATTAACAATGGATAATGATAAAGTCAGGTACATTCCAAATGGTACTACAGAGATACTTGTATAAAAATGCAAACAAAAGGTCCTTGATAATCTTTAAGTGTTTTGAGTATCCTTCACAGAATGCAAAAGGAACACACATGCAGTTGTACCCTTTCCTGCTCACCCCACTCACCTGGATGACTTTATAGAAATAGGCGTATTGTCGAGCGGTGTTTTTGTACTGGCTGAAGACATCGTGAATAGCTTGTGTCGACTGAAGACACCGAACTTCCTCTTCTTCAAAGTAAAGAGGGGTGTCATACTCGCTGGGGAGAGTCTGAATGTAGGGCTGCCAGAAAGAGTTGGGGTTGGCTCGCTCACACAGCAGGTGAAAGGCCAGCGTGATATTTCCCATGGCCTGAAGAATTCGGTCTTGAGAATATAGGGGCCCTGAATTAACCCAGAAATTAGCAGTATAAATTCCACACTTACGTAAAATGCAGCATTCAAAATATGTATTAAAAACATAGGAATAAGTATAAAAGGTTTTGTAACATTTAAGTTCATGTACATCTTTCTCTGGACATAAAATAGGAAACATTTAATGAGGATTTGAGGAACTAGATATGGAATTTTAGCTGGGTCCCAGTGGCTCATGCCTGTAATCCTGGCTACTCAGGAAGCTGAGCCTAAGGATTGTTGTTCTAAGCCAGCCTGAGCAGAAAGTCCTTAAGACTATTATCTCCAACTAACCAGCAAAATGCTGGTCTGGAAGTGTGACTTGAGTAGTACAGTATTAGCCATAAAGAGTCACATGAAGGAAAGCTCAAGTCCCTGAGTGTGAGCTCCAGTACTAAAACAAAAAAAAAAAAAAAGTAATTTTTATACTTTTATCATTTGCACATTTCCTTAAACAGCCAATAGTAAGTATTCTCACCCAATACTGAATTTTTAGCAGATTCGACCGTCATTAGTAATTTTCGTGGAACCCATAAAAATAACTCTTCTGCCTAGGGGAAAAAAATAGAAAAGCAGCAGAATCATCAGAACATGTCAATTTTCAATCCAACTGTATCTATGGCTGGTGATGCAATGACAGATGTGGAATACAACCTAAGTGTACGTATCAGCATTTCTTTCCTAAGTATCAGATGTAAGTGCAGAAGCATAGTTTACATCCTATTTCCTAGAAAACTCAGAAATCACATATGCTAAAGAACTATACTGAGAATGCAAGTAATCAAATAGGGACTTTCAACTTTAACTTGAAGCAAATATAACATCTGGACTAGAGTACAAAGGGTGTTTACTATATGCTATACTCATATTTTTCAGCTCTATTTTTCACTCTGTCAACGTGACTTGCTCATACTGCTGAGTGAGACCTGCCAGAGCCGCACTGCTTCTGCTACACATGTCTCCAAAGCACAGCAGTCACCAGTAAAGGGGCAGGTACTGCTCACCAGTTCTGTTCCAAGTACAATCTCCCTTGGGGTAATATGAGAAGCATAATGAGGTAATAATTGGATGTGCTCTGTGTGTTTATCTGTATTGCTTAATAGATAAACACAGCTTTCCACCATTTAAGAATACAGCAAGAAGAGTGGTGTCTACAAATCAGGAAAAAGCTTCACTGGAGCCAAGTGGCACCACTTCACATTAATCTTGTACTTTCCAATGTCCCAGATAGTGAGGAAGATAGCAATATTCCTAAAATAGCAATATTCCAGGAAGCACCTATACTAACGAAGATTCTCATTTGATTGTCTTTGCCAATGTCTACTATGTGAATTATTTTCTGTCTCTTAACCCTTACTATTGATTATAAGCAGCATGAAGGAAGAAACCTGCATTTTGAGGTTTGGGGTGTTTTTTTCTTTAATCTGATATAATGAAGCAGATATTTAAAAGGTACCTGTGGTATTCTAGTGTATGGTTTTATCCCTATATCAATAAAAGGTTAATTACAGCTTTACCAGAAATGTTACTGGAGGTTTGAGTGTGCTCAAACCATAACAACCATTTCCTCAGTCAGTTATGAACTGACTGAGTGACAAAAGAATACAACAGATGGTCACCTAAAATACCATCAGTGAAGTTCCAGAAGTAGACAGACTAGACTCCCCCACCTAGTTACAGGCAGCCTTGACTCCCTATAGGCCTCCTTGTGTGGGCCTGCCCTGCAAAGCTTCAATGTAGAGGGCACAGAACAGAATGAATGCCCAGGGAAACCAGCTCCCACTAAAAAACTGGCCAAGCCCAGTGCTTTTTCCAAAACTTGCAAACAGACTAAATTAGCCTCTTCTTAGGGAGGATAGGAGTTGGGGGGTGGGGGCAGGCTAGGAATGTTGAGTTACTGCTACTTTCTTCATTCTGGAAGAGCTGAGCATGGAGAAAAGCATCTTCCCCTAAGCAAATACCTACTTACCCTCTCCTCTGCCTATTACCCCTGGTGCAGCCATTTATGTGAGTTTTCAGTTATCCAGAATAGTTATCCAGTTCCGTTATCCAGCGGGTTCTGGATAACTGAACCCTCAACATGACCCATCCTCCACCGCCAACCCCACCTCTAAGATCCTACACCACAAGATCCTACCATAAGTCCTTAGGTAAATCTTTGAAAATCCTATGAGTCCTGGTCCCAGTCTTCTAATAGAGGTGTGGAAATGAAAACTGACTGCCTCAAGGAAGGGTAAATTGCATAGCTCACTGGAAGGGCAAACAGCAAAGGGGGTACCCCAAATCCAGGGCTAGCTCTTCCAGGCCCACTCGGGTGAAGAGACCACTTACTTTAAAGAGAGGGTGCTGCCTATTTCCCCACAAGGCTCTGGACAAGCCCAAATCATCACATCACAGTTCATATACTCTATATAGTGAGGGTTTTTTTGTTTTTTGGTTTTTTTGGAACCGGTCCTGGGGCTTGAACTCTGGGCCTGGGTGCTGACCCCGAGCTTTTTTTGCTCAAGGCTATCACTCTACCACTTGAGCCACAGCTCCACTTCAGGCCTTTTTTGTTTTGTTTTGTTTTGTTTTTTGTAGTTAATTGGAGATGAGTTTTCCAGGGCTTTCTTGCCCGGGCTGGGTTTGAACTGTGATCCTCAGACCTCAGCCTCCTGAGCAGCTAGGATTACAGGCATGAGGCACCAGCACCCAGCTTCACACACTCTTAAGATCACCTCAGACCAAAAATTTTTAAACTCACCTTGATGTCTCTTGTTGCTTTCAAACCAAAGCCCTCTTCTTCGAAGTTAACCATTTCAAAACCCTCGACAGAAGCCCCATTTTCAGAGGCCCATTTCATTAGATCAGGAAAGTAATCTTCTCTTTTTCCATCAAAAGTAACAGACAGACCTATATTGTCCATGTTTAGAAAATAAGAACTACTTTTAGGACACATTATCAATCACATGGCTCTCAGAAAATAAAAGCAGAGCTCAATTCACTGGCTCTAGTCTTAACACTCCTATCTTGAAACAGTCAAAATTAATCATCAGATACTCATGATACACATCTCAAAAAAAGAATTGTACATCATGCATTCTAGTGCAAGGCAATATTGAATGGGAGGTATTATTAAGTGATAGGACAGCGAAGTTGGAGAAGAGCCTCAGTTGCCCTGACTGTAGGTTGCTTAGGACTGAGCAGGTTCCCGCTCAAATGTTTAACATGCCATCCCTTACAATCACACAAGCCTTAACAAGTCAGACCTGGAGAAAAAGGAAACTCTGCAGTCTGACTCTAAAAGCAGCACACTTCAGGGCTCCAACGTAGACCACTGCAGAGCAACTTAAATGAGTGAGACTTCCAGGTGCAACACAAATAAAATATTAAGGGGAAAAATGCAATCTAATTTTTTTTTTTTTTTTTGGTCTGGTCGTGGGCCTGAACTCTGGGTCTGGGCGCTGTCCCTCAGCTCTTCAGCTCAAGCTAGCACTCTACCACTTGAGCCACAGCGCCACTTCCGGCTTTCTTTTTCTGCTTACATGGTGCTGAGGAATCAAACCCAGGGCTCATGCATGCAAGGCAAGCACTCTACCACTGAGCACCTTCCCAACCCTAATTTTTAAAATGTTTTAAAGACACTTTTTAAAAAGCTTAAAAAGTGTACCAATTAATTTTGTAAAAGACCAATTACAACTGTATCTCACTGTATTTGTATTTGTAGTCTTGTAAGGCTATAGATGGAGACAAATGTATTTCAAGAGGGCTGAGACGGAATGGGAGAGCAGTGTAAATCTACAGCTGTTATTTGTAATGTTTTATTTCTTTTTTTTTCTTTTTTTTTTTTTTTTTTGCCAGTCATGGTGCCTGAACTCTGGGCCTGTGCACTGTCCCTCAGCTCTTCAGCTCAAGGCTAGTGCTCTACCACTTGAGCCACAGCACCACTTCCAGCTTTTTCTGCTTAGGTGGTGCTGAGGTATCGAACCCAGGGCCTCATGCATGCAAAGCAAGCACTCTACCACTGAGCCACCTTCCCAGCCCCAATGTTTTATTTCTTAAATACAAAAATAGAACAAAGAGTAAAGGGAAGCTGAAAGGGAAACAGATGAACAGGTGGGAAAGAAAAAAGAAGGACCTGAACCAACACATTTTGACATGTGCTCTCCATCTAGGTAGTAGATACCCAGGCATCTGTTGTATTATTTTTCTGAACTTTTCTGCATGTTCAAGTAACACAAAAAGGTAAGTCATTCATTGGAAAAACCATCCCATTTTGAATGAATAAAAAGAGGAAAGAGCAACACTGTACAAATATGAGGAGCCGGGCATGGAATGTAGCCCGGTGCCTGTAAAGTTGCTCGACACCACGGTGCCATGCCAGCCCTGCACAGGCTCTCACTGCTAAGGAAGTCAGATGACTTGGTATTCCAAGCCAGAATGTATTCTTCCCTCAAAGAGACTGGTGATTGTTCTAACTTCAGTATTAGCTGCAGTGAACAGTATCTGCTCAGAAAACAAACTGTATATACTAAGATTTTTTGGCTACCTATTTGGTAGAAGTCAACACATCAGAAAGGAACTTTCACTACCTGGAGTCTGATACCATTGAAGTTAAAGACTACGTGTTTACAGGTGTGTACAGTAGAGCACTAGAACTGTTTCTTAAAACAGAAAGAAAACAACCCCCCTTTACACAATGACAAGAAAGTGTAAATGTTTTCTAAAGGTTTTTCTCATGCCTTCCAATACATGCCCTTCTATCTTCCATGCAGCTCTGCATACCAATCATTACTTTTTATGCTTTAAAGAACAAAAACAATAGGTATATTGAAAAAGCTTTTTCAAACTAACACTTAGCCCAAACTTGGCCAGCCTGGCTGAGAATTTTAAGATGACTACTGAATACACCCAGTAAAAACACAGCTTAAGGGCTGGAAAGTAACTCAGTGGTAAAGCACTTGCCTAGTATGTGCAAGGTTTTGTATTTGATCTCCAACACTAGAGAAAAAAAACAAAGCAAACAAAAGCAAAAAAAAAAAAAAACCCACAAAGGGATGGCAGGGGGAAAACAATGGAGGGGGTAACAATGTTCAAGAGGAAGTGTACTCATTACCTCACTCATGTAACTGTAACCCTCTGTATAGTATCTTTACAATAAAAAAAA